CCCGAGCGACCCGCGGTGACGTCACCGCCCGCGGCCCCGCCAGACCTCTCCCCCCGCCGGGCCGGGGACTCCTCCTCGCCGCGCTGTGCACGGGCCGGAGCCGGGGCAGAGTCGGCTCCCTTCAGAGCAAGGCGATAGTAATCACTGGGCACGGCTACACGTGAATTAATGCGCTTTAGTTAACCCACATCAAATCTGGTACCTCCGGGGACCTAGGGCATTTGTACATATGCTTGCGCTGCAGCACCAGGGGCTTTTAAAAGCACAGTTGTACAAACAGCAAAATGCGCATCAGCACAGAAAATGGCAGCTTTTGAACTAAAGTGCACCGCTGCCATTTTCTGTACACTGACACGCGTTTCACCACTTACACAACTGCATGCAACAATGCAGTCTGTGTCAGCTCAATTAATTAAGTCTGCTCCAACCCGCCAGATCTCTGATGCATGGGAGGATAAAAGGTATGGGTATAAATGCCCCTGAACCATCTGATGCATGGGAGGATAAAAGGTATGGGTACACATGCCCCTGAACCCCAGCCACACCCTGGAATTACACCAGGTTGGCACAGACTCAATCAAGCATGGTCATTACTCACTTCAGCAGCCTCCTGCATCTGGTGTATCAGCATCCCTGCTTAAAAATGGCAGCGGGGTGGTAGAACTAAAGCTCACTGAACAAGCTTTAGTTCAAAGTGCCCTGCCACCATATTCCAGCATGGGGTACACTGATACACGTGATGCTCAGGGGCTTTTAATTGGCACTGCTCACGAATTAAAGCACACACACCCCCATGCCTCCCAGAACACGTGTAAAAATGCCCCACGTTTTTTTTTTAGTGACACTTTAGCCTATTTTAATGTGCTTTAATGTGCATTAAAGCACACATGTAGATGCATCCACTGAGATGCAATTCCTTGAGAGATGGGGAGCGGGCATAGATAGCCACCTCCTGGAAGCTAGATAGGACCTCCCTGCAGCAATGCTGCTATCTGGATCCTGAGGGGATTTAGGGGCTCAGAACTCTCTACATTTTAAATGCTGGAGGCTGCAAGCGAGAGAGGAACAGTGGAAAAAACCCCAATTCACTCCCTCCCCCTTTCAGCATCTACTCCCTACCACACTGACGCAGGACATGGGGCAGGATGGACCTGTGGTCTGGCCCAGTCAATGGCAGTTCTTAATAAATACTTCTAACAAAGTTAAAATATTAACTTGATATTTGTTAAATTTTAAAGTGAAGCTTCATTTTGCTCATGAGGGGCAAGAATTTCTTAGGGTGATCTCTTTTCCTGGACTAACTGCATAGTTGACATAGAGTTAGACAAGATTTCTAACACAAGACCTCCTTCTTCAGGTCAGGAGCATATTCTGCACTGAGAAAAAGTTGTCTTAAGCAGTTGTCCCAATAAAAGACCATCCAAGGAAATCCTTGCCTCTCACATAATTCCTGGACAATCACAGCTACAAGGTAATAATACGACTGATTCTTATTTAGGAATTCAAGCATCAGAGCAATATTGACAAATTAACTTTCCTTAATAGCAAAATAAGGGCTCAGATGTCACTCCTTCAACTGACAGACCTATAGTAGGGTTCCCACATTTGGGCTCCCTAGGGACATGCAACATTTTCCATACTGCTATATGGGAGACCATGGGCAAATCTAGGATTTTGAAAAGGGGTGTACATAGTGAGGTGCATCATCACATATAACATGACACATACTTTTCTCCAGGTAAAAAGAAACAGGAAGCTTTGCTAATACACTGGGACCTAGGGCTGTATTTTTCAGGTTAAGATTGATGCAAAAACACACAACTTTATTGGAATGAGTTAAAAAAAGTCTGCAAAATGGTAAAATAGGAGCCACATTACCAGGAGCACCTAACAGATAGCAGAATTGCAGAAGAAAAGCTAGCTTGATTAGTGGAACATCAAGACCATTAAAAAGGAAAGAGGGTTATTAGCATCTGTGGAATGAAGAGTTCAGAAAGAATCAGGTAGATTACAATGAGCCATGAACTCAACTGACTCCCTCACTGCTGCCTGAATAGAAATGCTGCTACCACTGCAGTCAGTTGGTTTCAAACATTGGGTACAGCAGCAATCAAAGTGGGGTACAACTGTGCACCCCCCTGGATCTGCCTCTGGGGGAAATTTACAGTTAGAACCCAACCAAAAGAGAGTAGCCCCATATAGATGATGTCAAGAACCATTGGCCTGAAGTCAACACTTATCTCAGTGCTCAAGTATGTTATCACTAATGTAAAGACAGAAAATTGACAATATAGTATTATTTTGTTGGTGAAATATTTATATTATAGCAGACTTAATGCCCAGTTTTTTATTCCTTATTGTCTCAAATAAGAATAAATATTACTGTGATAAGGATTAAAGAACTGAGCAATATGTCCATTGTACATAAATATTTTATCAGCAAAATAATAGAGTGTTTTCAACATTCCTTGAGTTCATCTTGGCCAAATATGAATTATTTGGCAAAATTCATTACATAAAGAATTATTGTAAAGATATTTTGTATTAATGAGTGTTCTGTTAATGCATGGTAATCATTCATAAATTCATGCAGAATTCATAAAGTGAATAACATTTGCAAATAACATTGCATTTGTGCAGCTCCCAGGCAAGCAAGGATCTCAAACATCAAATTTCATGACAGGCAGCAAGTTACCTGTTGTTTTCAGTGTCATCAGGGTGACAATCTATACATGTCCTTGTAAGGTGGATTATTCCTGTTACTTCCATCCTATATAGGGCTGAATGTGCATAACAGGAGAAAGTACACTTTTCATCTGGGAGTCCATTTCCATTTGGCAAAAATATAGTTTACTATGAATTATTGTATTTAATCAATTTATTAATAAGCTTAATCTACAATCCTGCAAACACTGAGCTATATGAGTAACTCTACATGGGGGTACTTCTTACGGAGTTCATTTCAACTGTTGGTATGGGCAAAGTAACACATGCACCTGAGAGCATCACTACCTGGGAAAGTTACATTACTATAAGCTGAAGTGCATATTTAAAGCACTACAGTTATACTGGTATACCTCCCAATATGGACACACTGGGTGCATCTACACGTGCACTTTACTGCAGAGTAGACTAATTAGCTGTGCAGTAAAGTGTCACTGTCTACATGTGTGCCGGTATTAAGGCACAGAAAACTAATCAACTCCACTGTGAGATAGTACTGTCAGGGATAGTAATGTCTTATGCCAGGGTAATTTACTGTGCTGCAAAGCACATGTAGATACTGACCACAGGCATCAATTGCACCTGATTGGTCCAGCCAGCTGGGGGCCTACTCCAGCCTGGCTGGCTGCTGTTCCATGCACATATGTAGATGCTGTGTCTGGGAACAGTTTACTCCAGCTCAAACTGCTCCAGAGTTTATTGCTTTGCATTAATTGCATATGGAGATGTACTCAGTCATGCCAGTTTAGTTTCCAGTGATGTCACTTTTGAAGAGTTTAAACCAAGCTGAAAAAAAAGCCACTTGTACTATCATAAATGTGTAAACATGGGTGTTTATATCAGGATAACTAGTAATGTTCCTTATGTAGACAACTCCCCAATGCTTGCTGAATCATTACTTTATATTGAAGTGGGATCTAAAAGCTTCAGTCATGATCCCAGCCCTGTTGCGCAAGGTTACACATTCTCTGTGACTCCACAAACATTTCACTTGGCATCAGTTTGCTCAGGTTTGTGAACACATCCAACACACACCAGTGAGTACAGAAGTTTAATGCAGCATTTGCTAAGTTGTTCCTATGTTAGTAACCTAATAGCTATCTCTGCAGCAACTAGAAAATATTAAGATATTAGTGCATTACTTGTTCATTTATTCATGAGTCAGTTACTCATGCTGGCCTGAATGATAGAATGTTATGTATAATTTATGATAAAATCCTTGAGGGAGATTAACCTGCTTCCTGGTTTTAATGTTGAGTTAGGGAAGTTAGCAATAATAAAATTTGATTTAGAGTTGTAAACACCTACACAACTGCATGTAGACATTTCAGCCATTGCTTTTAAAATGGACCCACAAGCATTAACATAAAGAAAACTGACAGAGAGAGATGTCAAAAAGTATCCAGTACCTTGTTTGACAT